TTGCATTAACAGGCTTACAGGTAGAAACAAATCCTGATCATGAAATTGGAATTCGGCTGCAAACTACAACTTGGGGTCGGAAGCCACACCGATTGTTTATCAACAGCTGACAATGTAGTAACTACTTCCATGCGCACGAGCTCACGACCAACCAGAATCACCAAAAAAATATTTTCAAAATTTAGATACTCATGAAACAAACGTTATAACGCAACCCATAATTATGGAGAGCGATCACTCTGGGTACTTCCGACAAGCCTTCTATAATACTCTACACAGTGAACTGCCTTCTTTGTGTCGGAATGGTCCTCCCCATGTAGATCCGTACAATCAGTTACAAGACCCTGAGCTAGTTCCAGCGTCTCTTCAAATCTCCCCAACTTCTCGTAAATCCACATAATAGCGAAAACTGCACGCAAAGTATCTTTGTGCAACGAGCCGTATAAATCTGTGCATCCCTTGACCAGTGTTCCGAAGCGGTCAGATCGACCGCCCGGTAATCTGAAGATTCGCAGTCCGGTCAGATGCGGTCACTGTTTCGAAAGCCGCCCTTGGCATAGATCGGCCCGGTTTCATGTGGTAAATATCTAGCCTATTCAATTAACCTGTAGATATGTAGCATATCTTTAGAATCTGTGAATATCTACGCTAAGGAAGATTTCTGAAGATGACTGGCGCTTAGAGAAGATATTCATAGATATTTGTACTTATCTAGAGATATTTGTATTGGAAAAAGCGTTTGGACTCCCCGCATTGGCATCAATTGGCACGAATGGCTTTATGTATGCACTCAATTCCGGCCATGTCCTCTGAAGTGTAGAGAGTGTTCAGTAGCTCGAAAATTCTCATTTCTGACCGCAGAAACAAATTGGGAGATTCAGTTATCCAGGCTGTAGAATGCTTGAAATCGTGGGAGAAAGCTGGACTTGTTAAAGCGGAGGAGATCTGTCAGGTTCAGGAACTAACTACTTGTTGCTCTTGAGAAGAAGTAGGCTGCAGCACATGCTTCAAGTTAGTGGTGGGTTTTATGGATCTTAGGGAGTGGAAATATTGAAACTGGTTGGGGATCTGTAGATATCTATAGTCCGGCTAGATAAATTGCTGTAGATATCTATCAATTGATAAACGGGCTAGATGACCGCTGAAAAAGCCGCCCTTGGCACAGATCGGCCCGGTCGAGCCCTGAATCTGACCGATCTGACCGCTTCGGTTCACTGCCCTTGACACGATGGAGCACCCATTCCAACGCGTCTTCAAAACGTTCCAATTGCGAGTAAACTATCATCAGATCCCTGGCTGACTGAATGGTGCTGATGTTTGTAGGGCCAAGTGTCTCCTCATACCCACTCCGAGCAAGGCGATAGAATTCCAAGGCCTTTTCATACTGCTTCAACGTCTGGTAAACACGCCCAATGTTGGTAATTGTATGTAAATTCTCTCGATGCTTCTCAGTCCCTGGTTGGAGTGAAACATTCTAGTGCTTTGCTGTGTTCACCGCGGCTCACATATAAATTGCCCAAATTATGGACTGTACGGGCGAAATCCGGATCTCTAATACCAAGGACTTTTTCGGTGATTTTCAGACATCTCAAGTGCAAATCAAATGCCTCGTCACATTTTCCGGCCCTCCGGAGCCACCTAGCCTTTATTTCCATCGTATGCAATGTATGCCGGTGGTGTTGACCAAGTAGAGAAATCTGAGAAGCCAAAATTTCGTTCACTTGGTCAAGCATCTGAAACGACAATTTGGAGTCGCTCTCACATTCGCTCTTCGTGAGCAGGTATGTCATTGAAAATATCGACATTGCATGTAGGGCAGCAGGATTGGTTGTCCAGCATCGACCTGGGAGCATTTTGTACAGCTTGATAGCGTTCTCGAGGATCTTTGTAGCTTGGTCATAGCCCCCCCAGGATATATACATATGTCCCAATTTATAGACCATCAGGGCCAGCTCCTCATCAATGATATTGCCTGGTGTATCGTTCGCCTAATCCGAAATATACCCACAACACAGCCTGAGATGTGTCATGATTTTTTTCTCGAAGGCCCAATCAGAGGTTTGACGAAAGTTGAGTTCCACTTCGACCGCAGTACCAACCAGACAGAGAGCCTTCTTTGCACCCTTCTTTAGATGTTGTTGCTGGCGCTGCCGATTGCGCTCGTGGACAATCGATTGACCCTCGAGATCCTCGTATGACTCGCGGGCCATAACTTGCACCAAAGGGTGGATCCACAATGCTCGACCATCTCCGCTCAAAGATGACTTACGTATCATGAGGAAGAACTTGACCAGTTCATCGATTGAGTCATCGAGTCGGTATCTGTCTGCACGCTTATTAGGCTCCAAGTAAACGTTAAACATTCATTTTTGATATCACGGTGCAATATTATATCGGACTCTTTATACATGCTAATTAAAGGTTTCAGAGTCACCGTGGTTTAGCCAATGCATTGAACCAACTCCTCTGTAGAGTAACTCCTCTGGGATGCCATCACCACTCAAGAATGCACAAAGCTGGAGTAACCCAATGGGATCTGGGTTTTGTCGATTCACGGCCTCAACCGAAAGTTTCCAGCAAGAAAACACTCCGTCCTGGTAGGGCGGAAACGATCTGCCCAGAAATTGGCTCAAATCTCTGCTAAGTCGCTTCAAATACTCAACGAAGTCGATCATCATGGTAGACAACATGTAAGCTGCTGCTTGGGCAAGTGCAAGTGGCAGTCCTCCTAGAATCTCGATGGTTTTCTCTGCTGCTTCTCTAGCTTGATATGCTCCGTCAGCATGCTATTAGCCTTAGGAAATACAAAATATAGCAAGCTACCTTCGATAGTCAAATTATCTAGTGTTTAGTTGACCCCTTGATCAATGAAATTATTCGTTAGTATTTGTTCCTCATTAAGAACCCGCAAGATACATCGAGTCACCTTTGAGCAGTAAATCTAATCCTGCCTCCTTCTCTATCTCGTGAATGTCAATAAGGTCACCGTGAAGATGAGTAGCTACAGTCCTGTCCCTCGAAGTGACGATAATATGCCCATGACCACACTCAGGAAGCAATTCTGACACGTTGAATAAATCCATGTCATCGTATCCATCAATAACAAGACACCAGTCCGTATTTCCGGCTTTTGACAGCCAACCCCGGACCATATCCCACACCGACTGTCTACCGCTGGATCCCAAAACCAGCTTTCCGGATGATTCAAGCATTCCTGGGATTCCCAGCTCTATAGCGATCCGCGCAAAATCTGGGGAGCTCTGGTACTTTGTGGCGTAGTGCCTTATCAATGTTTCCATAATCCGCAAGCTGCTGAGGTTTATTGTTTCTTGGTTTGCAGCATTAATCCAGAACACGCTGTACTCCTTCGAAAAATGACGATACCCGTATTCCAGTGCAATTTGTGACTTCCCGATTCCACCCAATCCCGTCAGGACAACAATTCGACGCTGGTTAGTGCCTTTCTCTGCCTCATCACAGACAAAACAGTACTTGATTTTCGCAAGAATGTCCTCGCGGCCACAAAATTTCGGGTCTCGGGGAAGAAGCTGTGTGGGAACTTGAAATTCCGAGAACACGATGGACTTTTGGTTAGTGGGCATTTCTTTCTCACAAGTTAACCGTTGATACGTGTACACAGATCGTATTCAGGCTCACTCACTACGGAAGTAGACTTTTGTGATAATTTCGAGATCACTGGTGTATCCATCAAGATCCTTAACCAAGGTACGAAGTTCGTCATGGTCCGACAGTACCCAAGTATAGTGATGATACATCGACAGAGCTCGTTGATATTGTTCGGCTTTCTTTTCCAGCCGTCGGATACTTGCACATACCTCAGGGATGCCAAATTCAAGGTTCAATTCGAGAAAATTCTTTGACATCGAAGATTCGTCGCTTAAAGGTGGAGAATTCATTAAAGATGAATTCGAGGTTACAAATGCATGCCCACCTACACCAGAAGGTCCTGAGGAGGAAGTTAGAGCCTTTGGTCTAGGATCCGAGTCATTGCAATCCGATATTTGAGGGTGAAAAAAACTCTTGAGCCGGTCCCTTTTGCGCTGTTTTCCCCTCGGTTCGGAGTCGGTTTCTGTTGACTGGATTGAACTGAGTTGCTCGTCAACACTGATGCGCATGATGCCGTACTTAGATGCTCATCAACACTGATGCGCATGATGCCGTACTTAGATTGCAACTGCCCCACTTTCGTGAAGACTTCCGCTACAGATGCCAATGTTTCCAAGACTGTGATATACCTTCCTGAGTCTTGCTCCAAGACTGTCCACAAATCACCGGCACCAGACAAATCACGGATCCAGTCCTCAAGCCGGTGTCGCACGACATCGAGATCATGTTGGCATTTATGTAGCTCTTTTCCTACTGCTTGTGCCCCTGCAAATGTTTTGTAGCCGTCGATTCAGATCTTCAGCAGCTGGGCTATTACTGCAGGACCTGCAAGAACAACTCCGGCAACTTCGAACCCTGTCATTTTTTTCAGCTGAGCGGCATGTCAGTCATAATTTAGCCCACCTAGCATTTAAGAAGATCCATTCGCAAAGTTACTCACTGAGGTTTCTTCAGTACTATCTTTATTGAACAGTGTGAGGGTGAAGTTCGTCTCGTGAGGCTCTCTCAGCGAGCGGGGTTGCGAGGGCACGGTACACCAGATTGTGAGGCTGACGGAATTGAAACTACATTAAGAATATTAATAATACTGTGGAGGGCTTCAGAGCTTCTTGCCGTGCAACGATGGATCCATACTTTCTACTGTATGAAAAAGTTGTAGTTTCTGCAGACTGACGCAAGTCAAGTATTGGGATGGAACGGTCGAAAATGGTTCTTTAAACTCTACGACTGCAGTTCAAAACTCGTTTATCTCAATATACAAACTTACGTCCATCAACAATCTCCATGTTTCATAATAATAGAGTCTTTTTTTGGACTCAGACAGAAACCTTAATTTTTTTATAAAAGAATTATTTGAGCCGCTTAATGCAACAGGTGTCGTGGCGCAATGGTAGCGCGTTGGCTTCCGGTGATTGATTGCCAAAGGCTGCAGGTTCGAGTCCTGCCGATATCGTTTTGCTGGCCATCCGAGATACTTCCAATATTTGGAAACATTCGTGATATCCTCTATTTAGAAATATAGCCATTCTTTTTTAGACAACTCCTAAAGCAGGCCTTCCACTACACTACGTTCCATCATCCATAATCACTCACCATAAATCTCTAGCGCTTCCTATTACATCACTCCAGTTTTCCGGAAAACGGAAATCTTATCCCTTTGTCGGTAAGCGGGTTTGGACCCACGGATGGGCCCACTTGTATAATCCCATTTTCACAACCACAACTCAGCCATATGAGTCCAGAAGAAATAAGATAGTTCTATACACACTAAATAATATAAAAATAAGAATTGTGAGTGTGAAGAACACTATTTAGCTGCACACTTAGCTGTAAGCTACCATTTTTCACCCCTGCTCAACCAACCCCATAACTTCTGTGCTTTCTAGAGTGGGGACAAATTGTTCAACCTTCTACACAATGGTACACACATGCCAAAGGATCATATGTAGAGGTTAAAAAGCTCATTGTGACCTGGCAGACTTGTGGGGTATGGTAATTGCCGGTCGCATCGAGCGAGTGATAGACTGTGAGGCCAATTAGTAGCAAGAATTTTTATATTTGATATATCTATCGACTTCAGAGACACCTTGATAGCTTAAAGCCTGTTGCTCATAATATTGGGACTTATGGGTAGGAAATGGAGGGCTACTTATCACATATCTTGGTTCTGGCCAGCCCCACAATAGCACAAATGCAACACATTTACCTGGCACCCAACAACACAGAACTGGCAACCATTGTCCAAAAATTACATATAGAAGCTCCAAGTGTTTATCTTTCAAATGGTACTGTTCTAGGGGGGGTCTTGGTGGGTTGTTGTGGTGCTACAATCAAAAGAAGTGCCAAGTACCCGAAAGCGGGCCCATAGAAGGGCCCATTACCGGCAAAGGGATAAGCTTGAAATACATGTCTGAACTCATTCTTACTCATAAATACCTCCCACTCCTCTATTTAATTACCCCGCATCCACAAAATCGTCTTTGAGGTGTTCTATCGTCAACTCGGCGCCTCGGGAGTAGGATGTGTGTTTACTCGACGTCTTCAATAGGCCCTGGAGTTCTTATTAGTTTACCAGCCGATCTATCACGGGATAGAAGAGTACGGTGCTGGACACGAGAAAGCATGTCAGAAAGATAGAAAAGGCGGGCCTACTGCCCATGTTAGTGAGGGTGAACATGCGGGTTCTGGCTTTTGTGGAGGAAGCTATTTGAATCTGTGGTTGACAATTACTGTTTTTTGTTTGTTTTAATCATACTGTATTCACTCTAACTAGAGTATGACAGAGCCCAAATCCCCTCCGCCTCAGGGCGAGCCGGCTAGATGCTAGATGGCGGAGCTCCCCCCGCTACCCTTTGTCCCCTCTCGACAATTACTGTTGTGTTTATCAGAGCTTTTGTTTTTTAATCATAGGTCCATTTTAGAGGTCAGTTTATATGTGAGTACACGAGGAACCAGAAGAGAAGAATAAAAACAGGTACTTATGGCCTACACAATATGAATGAATGAATGTCCATTCCACCCCTCCCCCTACTAGGTCATTGGAGACCAGCTAGCATATACCGAAAGAATCGAAGGTGTGTTGCACTACACCGGGGGACAGGCACTGGGATTCGAACCCATAGCATTGTGGCCGTATACCCCGCCTATACTTTAGGAGCGATACCACTGTGCCACGGGCCCGCCCCATTGCTGGGTATGTGCTTGGTCTTGGTTGAACGATTGCCCGGACTTAGTCATGGTTAATCACTCACATAGGATATCGGGCGGATATTCATCTCGATCACAACTATGCAAGAACGCACGCCCCCGCTCGCAACAGAATAAAACCCATAAATTCAGTCAAAGAAAATATTCTGCCAGAATATCCTGTATAAAATAACACCCCACCCCCAACTCCCCATCAGCACTGTAGTCTTCCCACCAAAATAAAAATACATACATACAAAAGAAACCATCCTTAAGGAACGCCCTAATAAATCAAATCATCGTCATCTCCACTCCATTCACCCTCGTACAAAGCACAGGGCTGCCGGGTCTCATATCATCATCCTTTTCGTTCTTCTTCTCATCCTTCTCGTCTTTCTCCTTCTCCTCAGTTTCGTGATCAGCCTTCTTGTCATCTTTCTCATCCGTCGCTTTCTCCGTCTCGAGATCGTTCCCCTTCTCGAGATCGTTCTCCTTCTTCTCATCCTTTTCGTCCGTCTCCTTCTCCTCTTTCTTCTCATCTTTCTCAGCCTTCTCCTTCTCCGCCTCCTGACCACTCTTCTTTTCTTCCTGTTCAGGCTCCACGTCAGCAGGTGCGACCTCTCCGCCAGCCAGAATCGTTTGCGCTTCCTCATCCTTCTGTTCCGGCGTAATCTCAAGTGGACTCATCACATACGGCGATGCTGGTAGCGAGTTGTGGCTACCGCTACTGGGCGTGTCGAGCGCTGACATAGATACAAACGTGCTTAGCGGCGAGCCAAAGGTGGCTCTTCGATACCGCCCCGGCAATGGACTATATCCCGGGGAGGTAGGGGTTGGAGAAGTAGTGATGAGTTGCGGGAGCGTCATAAATTCTGGGGGGAGCTTGGGGGAGAATAAGGGGCGTTGGGGAGGAGTCTGCTGCTTGTTGCTGGTGATGAGGCTTGGTAGGGACATGCGTGGTGATTTCTGCGCCGCGAACTTTACAGGTGACGTGGGACGTGAGATGGCCGCAATGAAAGTCTCCTCGTCAGGAGAGAGCACAGGAAGGTGTGGAAGTGCGGGGCTTCCGAGGGGTTGTTCTGAGGTAAGATGGTACTCTGTTTCCGGCTCAGATTCTTCCTCTTCACTACTACTTTGCTCTCTCTTCATTCTTCGTCTCAAACGCTCCACAATCTTCAACTCTCCCTTTGCGCGCTTCTCGAGTGCCTCTAGCTCCCTTTCCAACCGCCTTTCGAGAATCCCTTGCTCCAGCCGCGACATCTCCTCCTCCGCTGCCGCTAGCTGCCGATGGAGGGCCGCGACCTCTGCTGGCCCCACCCGCCGAAGATGTGCCTTCTGCGTCTGCACCATCAGACGGTCCCGCTGTTCCTTCGCAGTGTTGGGTTGGAGAAGATGCGATAACGTAATGGAATACATTGTCTGGAGGGAGCTCAAAAACGATTTCTCATTTTCCGCCAGAAGCGTCTGCAGTGTTGAGAGATCCTCTGAGACGGAAAGTGGGAAAATTGATCGGGTTTGGAAGAGACGCGTCTGAACGGCGAGGAGCTCAGCGTCGTAGGACAGCAACGAGTTAACTGCGTCCGAGCGAGCGTTGGGGATGGGCGCCGGTGCGGTGGGTGTCTGTGGAACACTGACGGAAAAGGTGGATTGCCATGCTGGGGGAGTGGGGGCGAACGGTGGCACAGTCGATGTGGCGCTCCAGGGCTCCGTCTCGCTGGGTCGAAGCGCCGGGGTGCCTGCCGCCGTGCTCGCAGCTGTGTTGCCGAAAGTTGGGGATGCTAGCGAGGGGCGGCGCTGGAGTCGGGGACCTTGTGCCTCCCCCTCGTCTTCATCCTCCACTTCCTTTGCCGTGGCTCGTAGACCAAATGGAAACGGAGTCTTGGGTGGTTGCTTAGCCCATAGTCGCTGATATTTCCCCACCCTCCGTCTTCCAGATCTTGGAACTCGAGGCATTGCTTCCTCCTCCTCCTCCTCCTCCTCGTTGTCTTCCTCCTCTTCCTCGTCAGAAGAGCATGGGGAAAAGAAGGAGCGCACCGAAGATGCATTCGCCGATGGATCTTCGAGGAAGGATATACCCGTTATTGGTGGCTTTACGGCCAATATCGGCGGAGGGATAGCTTTGACATGCGGCTGCGGTGCTTGTGACGGGGTGCTGGAGAGTTTTGTCATGCGCGCAGAAGCGAAGGAGCCTGCAGACGAGACTGGCGAGATTTCTTCTGGCTTACACGATGATTCCGAGTTACTGCGTGTAATTGAAGCCTGAGATGAAGAGCGGGATGGAGGTGGTGAAAGCGGTAGGGACATAGTTGACGGTGGTTGTAAATATGTGGATGACGAGGTTGGTTGATTATCGTAGCAAATATATAGAGAATGAACACAAGATGGTTGATTATTAGGATGGGTCGTGGAAGTAGCGAGAGCTGAAGATCTTCTGGTGCCTGCCGGAAGTATATGCTGCTGTCGAGATGAGCGAGGTTCAGGGCACCCGAGTACAGATATAAGGAAACCCGTTGACTTCCGAAATATAGTAGATGCAATTAATAGTGCCTCCAAGCGCTGTCAGCTGCAAAGCATCTACAACACCCCAACAAGTGTTGCGGTTATGCATTCGGAATCAATGCAGCGCAAGACTTACTCCGCTCTGACCAGGTAGTCAGATGCCAATTCGAAACGAGCAAGTGTCCAGTATATAATGCCGAAGTGCAGAAAAGGCGGTAACGGTAACAGTAAAGGAAGCAATCAGTGACCACTCTGCTACAAGCAAGAACCTAGGGACAAAAAACCCGCAAAACTAAGGAAAGAAGAAGGGGGAAGGGGTACATTTAGGAAAGCAAGAAATTATATTAAAATAATATGAAACATAATTTTTCTCTACTCATCACCCACGGTCGATTGATCCGGCGACGAATACTTCTCCTGATCCTGCAAACGTTCGCAATCCCAATAACTGACCAACCAACAACCGTTGCAACAAATCCGACGGTAACTAATACTAGTGCACGACGAATCGGAAAGTGAATATTGAGACGTGGATGGTAACTACCATCCAATGCCATTATGGTGATCCCACGCTTGGCCGCGGTGCAGGTGATGGGATCCGCTCGCAGCAGAATCCATTAGGCAAAAGTCCCAGAGGACAACCCATAGGCGTCGGTTGGTTCCTGATTCTGAGTCTAAAATTAACATGGCCGTTCCTGGCATGATGCGCATCATGCAGGCACTCCATACTTTTTTCGTGGAGAGGGAGGTTGGCTATCGGGCGGTTAA